AAAGAATCAAAAAAAAAAAAGAGAGAGAGAAAAGTAAAAAAAAAATGTGAAATGTGAGGCCCCACCTCCCCCTAAGGCGAACCAGAGGGTTTGGCGGGTCGCCTGCCCAGCTCTCGCCAGGACTACGGATCAGATTAGAGCTATCTATTGCGATCCGGAACTTACAAACGAGCGTAAACAGGTCAAAATGGTAAAATAACCCAAAATAAAAAAATAAAATGAAATCCGGAGTCGGTCATGAATAGTAACCGACCCGTCAAAACCCAACCGAAAGAGCACGCAAACATTCACATCTGAACTTTAGCGATTACAATCCAAGAGGACATACAAAAGTTTTCAAAAGTTAATACATATACACGGTTTGCCAAATCAAAAGAGAAAACGCCCCAAAAGTACACTTAGGGTTTTAATACATGAGCTATACAAAAGATATGTTCAACTAGCTCAATTTGGCAGCCATTTGTCAAATCCAGACCAAAAGGGCAAAATTTTCCTGTAAGGAAAACAAAAGGAACAGAAAGGGGTGAGCTTGCGCTCAATGAGGTACCAAACAGATAGCATTAAAATCATGGCATTTCACATTTAACAAATCAGACACACATGTCAGATGTAAAGCAAAGGAACAATGATTCAAATCAGAAGGATACGGGTGGCTCTCAGGAGCCAAATTTCCAGCGCAGTACTTGATCCAAACCGGTTGACTCTCCGTCAACGTATATAGAACCAACGCGTCCGTAGACCCCTCTTATCACCGAATTCCGTCCACCAAACACCCCTTTACCGGGCCCGCTCACCTCAAACGAACAAAATGTAATACTCGAGTATACCGGAATCAAGGGTCTCAATACCCAAAATCCCCGAACAGACTACCGTGGTTCGTTATCTAATCGTCCAGGCCCTTGCCGGCCCGACTCGAATAATTAGCCACAGGATTGAGCTCATAGGTCATAGAAATCCGAACAGATGCAGACACAGATAACAGATTCAAATTTTGCATAGTAAATTGGCATATGAACAGACTAGAGAACGAGTGTGATAAAGTACACCCCCGTCTCGAACAAATAAACAGATTGCAGAGCAGAAATCAAGTTAAACAGCAATGGAGGGGAGTGGTACACTCACCGGCTCAACTTCAAAAGTTTTTACTTCAGATTGGCCTTAATCGCCAAGAAACCCTAAAATAGCCAAAATAAACCAATTGAAAGTTTCACATCCATAATCGAGTAAACAAAATGCACATGAGGCTCGACTACCAGTCGTATGCCTCGCCAAATAATTACTAATGCAAGGGTGGAAAACATGATTTTCTTGAAAACGAAAAGGTAACATGAAGACCTAGGCACAAACAACCCAAAAGTCCTTTGCTCAAATCACAAGTAAATCCAATAAAATTTCGGCAGCATAACCCTTGTGTTTACCTAGTTTCCAGCCATCATGGCTTCATTATTTCCTCAATTCAGTCCCAACATCTCACACAAAATTCATCTCATTTCCCAAAAGCCGTTCACTAGTCTCAAAGTAGTACAAGTACAAAAGTTAGCTAGGAAATGATCGGAATAAAAACAAGCCCTAAAACTATTCAAATAAACACAATAAAATTTGTTTACAAGTCATAAACCAAGGCCAAGTATTACCAAAATAAGGTTCCATAAGAATATATAAGCATTAAAGGAAATCAGAAAAATCCGGAAATGGAAATAAGCTTTAACCCAAGAAAACAGTTTTTGACGTCATTTTGCGGTTTTGGCACCAAAGGCACTACGATTGTCGGATGAGGGTGCAAGACCCACCATTTCGAAGCTAAAAGACAGGTCTACAACATTACAGAAAGTCACTCAGCCCAGTTTTGAGTGCAAACAGGTCAAAAATACAAAATACTACATCAAAACCGTAAAACAAATTCACCAAAATGCATTCTAGCGGAAATATCATAACTCAGGCCCTACAAGTCCAAATCCAGAAATTCCAAAACCAGATGAAAGCTAATAAACAGGGCGAAATTTCTTCAGAAGGCCTCAACAACTAATTCGGAAGCAAGACAGACCAAAACAACCAATTACAGAAGCAAATCCCAATTTCGGGTAAAACCAGAACAGCAATAGTAATTTCGACTTTTCTCATTCAACACTACTCCGATTGATCTGAAATTTTGTAGGCACCTCTAAAATGTCATTCCCTACAACTTTCATGTTTTGAGCTAAGGCCAATTCGGCCCCTATCTAGGACCTAAAATTTCGGACAGAATGCTCCACTTAAGAACCCTAGGTTTTCAATTTTCTTCCAAAACAGAAATTGGTTGCAATTAATCACTTTTCCCACCTCCTTGAGTCATTAGAGACCATTTCTAATCATCCTAGATAGCCACACAATCATGCTTATATTAAAACAGAAAAATCCCCAAAAATAATAAAATTTCATCATTTCCACCACAAATCAAGAAATAATCCATAAACTTGCATCTTCTACTTTCACTAAGCATGATTTAAGCATCAATTAAAGGGGGGGGTGGTTCTTCACAACTTACCTTTAAAACAAGAGAGAGAGAGCTATGGGTCACCTTAACCTTCCAAATAACTTCACACAACAACTCACCACCACTACTTGAAGGTGTTTTATGAAGAAAAATCAAGGTTGGATGGTTGGTTTTGGTGATTGAAGCAAGATTGAAGCCAAAACTTGAAGAGGTTTTCTTTCTTCCTTTGAGAGAGAGGGCCGGCACTTGAGAGGAGAAAATGGTGCAATTTTTGGTTAATTTTGTGATTTATTTGGTCAATGGTAAGACATGGAATAGTAGTCTTAAAGGTAACCCAATCAAATGGTGACACTTGTCACCTAATTTAATGCAAGTCTATCACTTTGTTTCCTCTCACATCAATCCAAATTTGCAACCTCAAAATATCTCATAACACCCGATAAAATAATTCCAGTATCCAAAACGTAATTCAGTTGGCCGAATTTTTCCGAACTTTTCACACTTGTGGGTCCCACGTCCGGTATACGCTCTTAATTTCTAAAAATCTATTTGATACTAGAAAAATCATCTGAAAATTATATTTACTCATAAAATTTATCTAGAAAATTTTCCGGATACAGAAAGTGCAGAAAACAAATCATTGAAAATAAGAAAACCTAGAAATATAATAAAACCTAGAAATTGGAAAAATTACGGGTTCTCACATGAAAAAGGTGAAGGTTGTGTTAGTGTGTACTAAAAGTCAGTTTGTCGAATTATGGATTTAATGTTGAGATTTGGGTTAATAGTTGGACCATTTGCTGATAAATGTTGCACGTCATTCCTTTCTCTTAGATTAGTTAACCTGAAATTAGAGGAGTTTGTGGTTTAGAAGCTAACTGGAGTGATGTTTCTTGGACTTGACCATTGATGCTTGATTATTATTTTTCCTGATATCTTGGCAATTTGTTGGATGGAGCAGTAGCCACTATCAAATATTGGTGTTTGTTTGTTGTTCTCATGCTTGAGGACAAGCATGGTTTATGTGTGGGGGGAATTGATAGGTTGCAATTTTATCATTTATTTTATTATTAATTTTTCCTATTATCTGACCTATTGTGGATTAATTGCTAGATTCTACTCACTTTTGATATTTTGCATTTATTTCAAGGAGTAGAACAAAAATATGATAACAAGTGACAATTTAACAAGAAAAGAGCCCAAATAACAGAGCTTATCCCAGGGGTATTATTGGCAAAGGAAGACTTTTGCCCATTTTGGTAATTTCAAAAGAAGAGAGCAGGGCAGAGGCTTCTATTTTACTGGAGGGCTGGAGCGCCGCAGGGATCCTCGTCTTCTTCTTCCTCTCCGGAAGGAGGCCGCCGCACAGGAGGGAGCTGAAGCTTAGCATGAGATTTGCTTTTCCTTTTGGACTTTTGACCAAGGAGCTCCTGCGCATGGCAGGAATATCAAGGAATTGTTTCCTTTGACTTTTCTTGGGCTTCTTAGTAGTAGTTGCCTCACGGATTTCAGCAGCCAATGTGGCTTTTGTGGACTTTTCTTGTTAGCTTTATAGTAGCTTTTCCTTTGACATGTCAACGGCAATTGAGAGATTGAATCACTCTCTGTAGTTTCTCGTTTTTCCTTATTCCTTCGGTCGAGTTGAATTCGCGCGAGCAAGAACGATGGCCGCAGATTTTGCTTTTATTCCCTGTGGATTTTGTTCATCAATTATGAACTAATTTTCCAATTCTAGTCAAGGAGCAACGAAGGCTCTGATTCACCTAAAATTGTGAGATCGATTTAATTTTATCTTTTTCTTTTATTTATTGGTATTCGCATATTTCCTGGTTACAGTGCTTATGATTGTTTAATTAATTGATTGTCTTGGATCCGGATAATTAGTTAATTTGGTAATCTATTGTCAATTGGGACGTTAAATCCGTAATTGTTTAATTGTCTCAAAATAGTGACGACTGGCATGATTGGGTTCGTGTCAGGGGAATACGCGGGCTAATCTAAAATAACCCTGGTAGTGCGTTATTTGATTAGAATAGGGCTCCTCTAATACGTAAGGCAATTGGGGAATTAAATTCTATGGGCGTACCTAGGATTATTTCTCAATTAGAGCAGTGATTAACGGGCGTACCTTAATCATCGACACAGTAAGGAGGGGTTGACTGCCATCGCTTGTTTGGCAGTTATAACCTATTTATTAGTAAATAATTGGAATTGCCTTTGCTTATCGATGATCAATTAGGTGCACCATTGCTGAAGTTATTTCTTGGCTAGATTCTTAATTATCACTCATTAGATTTTAGTAAATTGTTATTTAATCTCTAGTTGGCTATTTTATTTTTATTATTTTACTTTTAGTTGGATTGCTTAAATTGTCACCTCTGGTATAAAAACACCCCCTTTGTCTCTGTGAATTTGAAAAGAAACAATTACACCCAGTCCCTGTGGATTCGACCCTGCTTACCACTATCTGCAGAAATTAACTTTAATTTGAGCAGGTTTTATTATTGCACAGGTTTCGACAATCTGTCATTAGTCCCGTCACGCCGCTTACCTTGATTGGTACCCTTAAAAAGTATAATTGGGGTGCTTTCTCATTTGACATAAAAGTTTGCAAGACAAACCATTCTACCAAATCTACAATGAGAGCCCCTGGGGAGGTTCAAGGATCTTATATAGCTGATGCTATAATGGAACAAATTGCATCAGCGCTTTCTATGGAGGTAGATTCTGTTAGAAAAATAAATCTTCATACATTTGAAAGCCTTAAGGTGTTCTATGGGGAGGCTGCAGGTGAAGCACTAGAGTATACTTTGACTGACATGTGGGAAAAATTGGGTGCATCTTCATGCTTAGTCCAGAGAAAAGAAATGATAGAGCAGTTTAATCGGGTCAATACATGGAGAAAAAGAGGTGTATCACGGGTTCCAATTGTCTATGAAGTGACAGTAATACCAACTGCTGGCAAAGTTAGCATCCTTCGGGATGCATCTATTGTTGTAGAAGTAGGAGGAATAGAAATAGGCCAGGGTCTCTGGACTAAGGTAAAACAGATAACTGCATATGCTCTCAGTTCAATTGGATGCAATGGGACAGAGAACCTAGCGGAAAAGGTGCGAGTTGTACAGGCAGACACCATAAGCTTAGTGCAAGGGGGTTATACTGGTGGAAGCACGAAATCTGAATCAAGCTGTGAGGCAGTCAGATTATGCTGCAATATCTTAGTTGAACGACTAGCCCCGCTCAAAAGTAAGTTGCAGGAGCAAATGGGTTCTATTAACTGGGATGTTCTGATACTTCACGTAAGATGCTCTTCCCAGCTTCTCCGTGGTATAACTTTAGATGTTAATCTGATCAAAGCTTTTTAGTGTTTCATTTCTGAAACAAACTTCTTGTCCACATCCAATATCTGCTTTCATGCAGAATTCTTTCTTCAGAAACCTATAGATTGCACAACCCATAGCTAGATTTATTAATCAAGTTCAAATGAAGTTTTTTTTTTTTTTTTTTTCAAAATTTGGGATTGAACAATGTGGTCTATATTTGCACTAGTATCAGGTCATTGGCCAAAAAAAATCCAATATAGTATCTGGAAATATAAGCTGTAAAGAATTACCAAGACTGGAAAAGGTATTTTCCAGTTAAATGATAACAGATTAAACACTTCATATATCAGACAGAAATTGTAGTTAATCTTAAAAAAATTGATTTAGCAGGCTATTTTGTTCTTTTGTTCTAGCATGTTTCAAGAGATGATCAACAACGTTTTTGAAGACCTACTTTAATCTTCCGTTGCTTAAGAATCGAACATAGTCCAATAGTTAAGGGGCTTTCTTTTTCTTCTTAGGATGAGGATCCAATCCTCACAGCCTCCCCATTCCCTTCCCACCTCTTCGTTCCGGGCCTTCCCCTCCTTTTAAAACAACAAAAAGGGAAAGGAAAATTCCTTCTTTGCTACTTTCTGGAACTTGTCTAGGATTGCTACTTTCTGGAACTTGTCTAGGATTACTGTTCACACTTAATGTTTCATAAATTGTTGCGAGTTTTTTCACATTTCTCATTTGGGACTTCTTTGACTGTAGGCATATTCTCAATCTTTAAACTTGGCTGCACATTCTTACTATGTGCCTACGTCCAATTTCGTGCGTTACCTGAACTACGGTGCTGCGGTTGGCGAGGTAAATTTGTCTTCTCCAGCTTTCTCTGTGGGACCATGAAAAAAATTTATCTTATAATCTGTTCATAGAACTTTAGATGATGGATATTCAGCAGTGCACCATTTTGATTGAGCAAGGGACTCTTACATTGGAGAAATCATGGAGTAGTTGTCTGCTGTGTGGCCTTATAATGGATGGTATGAAATGATGAAGCTGTTTGTATTTGTATTGCAGGTAGAAATAAATGTACTGACTGGAGAAACTAAAATTTTGCAAGCAGATATTATATATGATTGTGGACAAAGCTTGAACCCTGCAGTGGATTTGGGACAGGTTAGTTACTTGTTTCTTAATACTTATCCATATCTACTGTGATTGCTAATGCTTGATATTATTTTGGATTACATTTCTTGTTAGCGTGATTCAATACACCTTAAAATTTATTGAGCAAGCTGAGCTCATGAAGAATGACAGACTATGTCCTGTTTTCTTCTTTCAGATTGAAGGAGCTTTTGTTCAAGGAGTTGGATTCTTTATGCTCGAAGAGTTCCATATCAACGCAGATGGATTGGCAATTTCAGATGGCACATGGACATACAAGATCCCTGCAATTGATAACATACCGATGCAGTTGAATGTTGAAGTGGTAAATAGTGGACATCACGACAAGCGTGTTCTATCATCTAAAGGTATTTCTTCAAATTTCTCAACTACGTCCGAACTCAGAAGTAATATAATTGACTTTTACAAGTATTGTGGTCTTTGGTGCTTTCCGGTATCACATGCTGGCTAATCTGTTGGAATCACAACTCTGGAAATGAGGAAAAAGGATGAGGAATCATTGTAAATGTTCTTTTCCTAATACAAAATTTTTTTTTTTTGCATATATCATCTTTGGACACCCCACTGCGCTGCAGAATATCTGTAATCTACTTTTCTTTAAGTAATGATTCAACATCTGAACAAGTAAATCTTAGACAACAAAGCTCCTGGTTCTGAAACCATACCTTGCAGTTTCAACTTTCAACTGAAGGTGGCTCAATGTATGATCCACCAGATTTGAGCTATTAGACTGATCTGGTTTGGTTGAACTTCTTTGTAGAAAAGCGGAGCTACCACATTGCTAATCCAGGCATACAAATGGATGATTTATTTGTTAATATCAAGAACTAGAACTTTTTGAGGAAAAGAATGTAATGGGAATATAGATGTAAACTTCTCACCCTTGCAACTGACACATGAAACGATCATCTGACTGGTGCACATGAACGAACCTGCACAAGCAAGCAAGATATATCTGTATTTGATTTTTAATCTGGAATTGACCATTATGTAGCCTCTGGAGAACCGCCATTAGTTCTTGCAGCCTCAGTACATTGTGCAACGAGGGCAGCAATTAAAGAAGCCAGGAAACAGCTAAATGCTCGGAGCAGACTTGATGGACCTGATCCAGCATTCGAGTTGGATGTCCCAGCAATTATGCCTGTTGTGAAGAATGCCTGTGGCTGTTGAAAGGTACTTGGAAAGCTTGCTTCATTGATTTGATCATCCACAGGCATTTAATCTTACTGTATATAAGTTGTAACAATCTTAGTTATAGTTGTGTATGGAATTATACATGTTACACTCCTTGAATGATAGTTATTCATCATAAAGAATGATAACAAAGACTGTTGTTTGATCAAATATCATTACCTTCGTATAGTGTCAAATTTTCCTATGTTCTTGATCTTGTTATTCTCTAAATTTTAAGTTGTTTCTTGGTCCAAACTCTGAGCCTGTTCCTTGGTAAATGACTTCTCTTGTGCACTTCTGGTGAGGAAAAAAAAAGAACAAAGAAAAAGCTTGAAGGATGATGAGCTACCATCTTGATTAACTCCACTGGGGGGGGGGGGTCCTGGAATGGCAATCGTTTTCTACATTAGCTTGCAGGCGATTAATTCAATATTTCACTCCAGAAAAATTCTGAGTTCATCGTTTTATCATACGGTCATGGGAATGGAATCATTATATCAATAGAAAATTAAGACAATCATGTGCAATGTTTTAAAAGGTGTTCGTGGGGCGAGTTCCGGTGCGGAGCGTTTTAGTACTACCTGTGGGCAATTGCCTAAAGCGAAAGTGCTCTGGGACACCTCTGAAGTGAGGCGTTTAAAGCGTACACCCTACAAATTGTCTTATAAAAAAAGATTTAACTTCATCAATTAAGTTTTTAACTTTTCAATATTTAACTTTATTACTAATTTACTATCTATTATATTGAGACATTGAGTGAATTTGATATAATTTTTTTGAAATATACTATATGGTTAGGCAAGAAAGATAAAGGAAAAGAGATTGTTACGTGTAGATTGGATCCTATGATGTGGTGGAAATTCCGGAGCCACCATCAATTATTGAAAAAAAATTACCTAGCGTATATACACTAGATGATGATAATGACATGGATGATATTGACTTTGATGAATAGTATCATTTTATTTGTCGGTTTGTTTCTAATTGTTGGTGTTATTCCTTGTTATGTATTATAAGCAATTTGGTTGCTAATTTGGTATTTTATTTTTTATATGAGTTAAGTGTGTTTATTGAAACAATTAACCTTTGAAGTTTGTGTCTACTTGAATTTATGTGTTTGTAATTTAAGTGCTTGATAATGTGGTGACTTCTTAGTTGTGACTAGTTTGCTTCTAAGATTGAACATTTTGTAATGTTAATTATTCCGCTTTTTTGTGCAGCTAATATTAATATGTATGTTTCTTAAATTATTAGTTAGAGTTATACAATAATAATTCTTTATCTGTATAAATTTGCTTAATTTTATCTAATTTTATTATGTTTATTTATATCTTCAAATGACTTTTTTTTTATAATATATATCATATTTGTATATATTTAAAAAATAAAAACTCGCAGGGCTTATACCTCATGTCTCGGGACTTTCACCCCATTGGGGCGGATACTAAATACTGTGCCCAACGCTTTTGTCTTTTAAAACATTGCTCATGTGTGGATTGCCAATGACACAAATATGGAAGTGCCAATATCGCCACCCTATGTTCCAATGGTAGTACATTAAATGTAGTAAATCATGAGTAAATAAGGCTGAATTTGATTTACCGTCTTGATTAACTCCATTGGGGTTCCTGGCAATGGCTTTCTGCATTAGTTTGCCAGTGATTAATTCAATATTTCACTCGAGAAAAATTCTGAGTTCATGGTTTTATCGTTCGATCATGAGAATGGAAAAATTCTGATTTCATCGAGCTTAAACAATTCATTTGCCTCAGGAGGGGGCCTGCCTAGAGATCATAATGGGCATGTAGTCTTTGCTTTTTACAAGAAATTCGGAGAAATGGTTTTTTTTTGGTAAGTGAAAGGTTCTGAATCCAAAATCTTCTATTACTTGCAATCCCTGTTTCGTGCTATCCAATCCAATCCTTCCCCAAAATAGGTTTTTAGCAGAATGTTTGACTCTTTTTTGGGGGCTGCAATTGTGTCACACTCAGGGCTTTAGAGACGTTTTGATTGAGGTTCATTCCCAGCTACTTGTTCATCTTACGTATTTATATTAAGGTATCATCTAAATGGCCTTTATGCCGTGTCTTGCAACAAAATTATCACTTTCTTTCTGGCTTTTGTCGGAGAATCCATTCAACATGTTTTTCCCCAAGCAAATGCTGCTGCCCATTTCTCACTTCACCAAATCAACCGCCTATTAGGCTCCTATTTACGATTCATCCAATTTTACCATCCAATCTAACCCTCCTCCAAGAGATCTTAGGGCTACTATTTCTTTAGATAGTATTAGTTTACCTAATACACAAATAATTTCTATAAGAAAAAGTATTTCTTATTTATAACTTTTGCTTTACATCATTATATTGGAGGTTTGGCTTATGGTCCCCTCCATGTTTAATTATTAATAAAAATAAGGACTAGCATCCCTATCCTGTTTAGGGCTACAAACGAATTGAACCGCTCGCGAGCGGCTCGAGTCAAACTCGACCTCGAATTCGATCTCAGAATATTAAGCTCGTTAGCTTGCGAGCTTGAGTATATATATATATATATATATATATATATATATATGTTTAATTATTAATAAAAATAAGGACTAGCATCCCTATCCTGTTTAGGGCTGCAAACGAATTGAGCCGCTCGCGAGCGGCTCGAGTCAAACTCGACCTCGAATTCGATCTCAGAATATTAAGCTCGTTAGCTTGCGAGCTTGAGTATATATATATATATATATATATATATATTTATTTAATAAAAAAATTACATTATTATATATATTTTTTATTTTTATTTTCATAGTAAAATTATGTATATATCCTTAATATTTTATTATTTATTAAGAAAAAAATATTATTTTATTTATTTTTTAAAAAATAAAATAATTATTTTTTATTTTTTTTCGAACTCGACTTGATTCGAGTCGAGCTCGAGCTTGAAAATTGCCGGCTCATCGAGCTCGAGCTTGGCTCGAAAATTTAGTCGAGACTCGGCTCGATTAGTTCAAAACTCGACTCGGCTCAGGCTCGTTTGCAGCCCTAATCCTGTTCGTAGAATTTGCCAATAAAAAAAAATCAACATCTTGATAATTACGCCTATGCGGGCATTAAACCAGGATACCAAATGGTGCAAATCCTGCAATTTTTTTCAAATATGGTTTTTTTTTTTTTTTGGTAGAAGTGGCTATTATTTAATAGCTTACTGATTAATCATTGTGGAGTAGGTAATAGTTGTTATCAAGTTGACGAAAGAATAGAGCGTCAATAAACGTATAAAAAAATGTGTTGATGGCCAGTAGCAATCCAATCAAGTTTCTTTTATTTTTTATTTCTATGATGAAAAAAAAAAAGGATTTAATATTTGTTACTAATTTTGACAACTCCAATGTCAAAGGTTTCAAACGACGAATAGCTTTTCTATGCCAAGAAAGAGGGTCTTGTCAAGCAAAAGTGAAGTATTCTATTTAAACACGACAATCACAATCAACTAGATATTTTAACCCAAAAAAAAAGATATTGTTTTAAATGGTTATGTATTCTTTAATGGATTATACTTAGTTTGATGAATGGTGGTTATCTCTTGACAATAATGTTCTAACTGAAACTATCTATGATAACGTGGTGAACATCTAAAACTTGGCTGCTTAGATGATGATTGGAAAAAAAAAAATTTTTTGTGCAAATTGATTGACTCAAGTAATCGAAAAAAAAAAGTGCAAATAAAAAACCATGTGACAAGAAAATTATATAAGTAGATCTCAGATTTCCACAAATGATGGGCAAAAAATAAATATAATCACCATGTGAGGGACTTGTTAATACTTATATGTTATGTTGCAGCTCCTAGATTCCTCTAGCAATGGATATGAATAAGGGCCAATTCCATCTACCTTGTTGTTTGGCTAAACTATCATTCGATGTCCTGAACTTTGGAAAATAACACTCATCTTCTTTATATCACAATAATATAACAAATAACTCCCTTCTAGTAGTTTATTAACAACGATTAACACCAATCACTTAAAAAGTAGTATAAAACTTGACAGATGTTGAGCCTGTATGATAATAAAATCCTATTCACAAAAGTATTTATTCGAGTATTATGGTAAATAGAGTCGTCTCTATAGGAATTAGGAAAAATCTGTTTCTTTCCAAATAAGAACTAAAAAGGGGGTTTTAGAAGAATTAAAATTAAGATTAAAAATAACTACTCAACAGAAATAAAATAATGCGTAAATAGAAATAAATCAAATTCAAATCAAGATAATGAAGCTCTAGGCAGGGATATAACTTCGGAAGTAGTTCATACAACTCTTCATTCATGCAATAATTATTTCATTTATTCACTAATAAACAGATTATAGCTGCCAAACACGTGATCTTTAATTTCCTTACTATCTCTATAGTTAAGGTGCATCCGTTAATTACTTCTCTAAGAAACAACCCTAGGCACGCCTATAGAATTTAATTTTCTTGATTGTATTAGAAATTAGAAAAACTCTTTTCTAATCAATAAACACACTATCAGGGTTTTTTAAAATTTAGATCATATGTCTCCCTAACATGAAACCAATCACATTAGTCGTCACTAATTTAAGACAATTAAATAATTACGAATTTAACTGTCCTAACTGGTATTAGTTTGTCAAGTTGAATTAAATATCGGGCGTCCATGATATTTAAATAACAAAACGACCATGAGAAATTAAATCAAAAAATATATTACTAACAAATAAAAGAAATTAATAAAAATAATTAGATCTCACAGATGTAGATGAACCAAATCCTTCATTACTCCTTGACTAGAAAAGAGAAATTAATTGCTCATCGTCAGGGACAATCCACACGATTTCATTGAAGGCCTTTTCAAAAGTGTTTGACAAAGAAAATAACTAAGAGAGAAAAAGAACCAGGCGGCTTGGTCGTTCTCCAAAGTAAAAGGAGCCACGACCTCTTCCAATGGTTCCTGCTTACGCAGTATTCCTAAGAAGAAGATATTCCTAATAATCTAAATTGTCTCCCAATACAATTTGGAAACATGCTCCTTAGGACTTTGACTTGAACTGGGAAACCACCCCGCGCGTAAATTTCGAATCTTCGGGTCTTGACAGCATGACAGGTGT